TTGTTCAGTATTTTTATTCAAATTAGTTGGAACTAATAAGGTTAAATACCTTTTTCATCCCTTTACTATTGAGAAAAGTTTTTTTAATCTCTGTACTGAAAATTTTTCTTTTTAGTCTCAAAATTTTAAAATACGGTCCTATTTTGATCTCTCCATCAAATTTTTGGACAAGTTACAATCAATTAACAAAATAAGCAATGCTAGGAGCACTCGCCTTTTGCACTCTCCAGCAAGCACTTCCCTTTTTCATTGGGCCACGTAAGCTTGTTACAGGCTTTGCGGTGCAACCTCCCATTAACCAGAATAACGTGGCCCAATAAAAATGAAAGTGTTGGCCGGAGAGTGCGGGAGGCGAGTGCCCCTAGCATTCCTCTTAACAGAATTGTGTGATGTATAAAATTCAATTTGTAAAAAAATGACATGGACATATAATTTGAATCCACGTCGGCATTTCATATATTTTAATTTTAAAAATTATTTAATTACATAATTACTGTTATAAATATTTTAAATATTTTAAATATTATTTTGTAATTATTTATTTACTCCCATCTTCTCCACCCTTTTGGTTTTTTTTTTTTTTTTCTAACCTTTGCTGGGTTCGTCCACCTTCACTACTCAAGTTTTTAAGTCCACCTTCACTCCTCCCATTCAATTCAGATCTCACAATCAAAACAGATCAGATTTACCCAACCACCCAATACACAGATACCAATCCAAAAAGAGCATGTACGGCTGCGACCCCTGGGGCAGCCCCTCGAGATTAATGCCGTCGACTCCACCACCGACGACAACCGCAGCTGCAATCTCCAGGACTTGGATCGAGCTGCCCTTTCTTCTTCTCGCCCCTTCGGTGAGACCCAGCAGAGCTGGCTACTCGGCCCCGGCGAGCAGAAGAAAACGAAGTATGTTGATTTGGGCTACATCATTGTCAGTCGCAAGATCTTCCTCCGGACCGACGATGCCCTCCTCTTCTCCGCCTTCCTTGCCAGTTTTGTCACCTCATCGTTAAGACCGTTCCCCGCCACCGCCACGCTCACCCAGGCCTGGGTTCTTCGCGAACCTAGGCCGGACGAACCCAGCAAAGGTTTAAAAAAAAAACGGAGGAGAAGGGGAGCAAATAAGTAATTATAATATAACATTGAAAATATTTATAATGATGTCCGGCATAAAGTGGTTCACTGGTAATCCTGTGAGGGATCGTGTCTGAATATTTAAATCTTAAATTTTAATCTAGGCAACTCCTTATTCCAATTTCTCAGCGTCAAAAAGAAAATATTTATAATTATAATTATGTAATTAAATCATTTTCAAAGTTATATTAAATAAAAAATATATGAAATGTTGACAATATATCTATATTATTTTTTTTATAAATTAAATTTTTTACATTACATAATTTTATTAATGGATTGTTACTTATCAAAAAAATTTAATGAAAAAATTAAAAAGAAATCAAGTTTCAAATTTTAAAGACAGAAAAAAAAATTTTCAGTATAAAAAAAAAACTTTTTCAATAATAGAGGGATGAAAAGGGTATTTAACCAACTAATAATTACAGTACCGGGGAGAGAAAAGGGCGAAAAGTGATTATCGGCCCCTTAAATAAATGACCAGACTTGCATACATCAAGTTTCAAACAAAGTCTCAATTAAGTTTCAATCAACTTGATGCATACCGAAGAGGGAGCGTTTAATTTTATAAGATGGATGGTATATTA